GTATATAAATGGACATGTAAACACACATAAACGTAAATATGAAACAATATATCCTGCATAAATGGAAAGAAGTTATCTAGAATTTCATTTGCAAAGCAAAATCACACTGCACTTGTCTTCATTAGAATATATTCATGGAGACAAGAAGCACACACACCATCTATATGTCTACGTTTAGTAGGTTAAAATTTAGACAGGTCAGACTTTTATCCTTATTAAGAAGCATTTTGGCTGCAGGGAACATGCTCTTGTGCTTTACCAGGTAACAAATATTCATGAATTTCTGAAGATTACATTTATTGAAATTTCTCATTAGAAGAGTTTTCTGCTAAGAAAAGCATTTCTGATACCAAATAATGTTAAGCCATTTAATTCCATGAGAACAAAGCAACGTGTTATGGATTCAAGATTGAGGCTTGAAGCAAATACGATCATAGAAAAAGATTAGAGAATTGAAGGAAATGTTAATGTATGTTCTTCATTACATACTGCGGTGTTTTTTTGAAAGGAGTAACCACTCTAAAATCTAAAGTTTGCCTGCTACAGCAGTTATGGCTTCAGTCCAGCTTGTTTTCCTATTCCAGGCCATGATGAATAAGATGGGGAGAGAATGGGAATATTATGGCTTTGTAATACACAAACTGCACCAGCTCTGCAATAATTAGCAAGGCCTAGAGACCATTCTAACATACCCTAAGGTATGATCCTAAAGGACTATTCCTATAAAAATTACTCTAAAGAAAGAGAGGACTTCAGTGCTATCTCATGTTCATTTCTTTTCCTGTCTTCCTGCTTTTAAAGGAGATGGTTTGGGACCAACCTTCACCATTTTCTATTAAATAAGAATTTGTTTTCCCTGGGGCATTCTCAGGTACATCCTGAGGCTTTATATACAAATTAGGTTTGTTTCTTGCATGTGGAATTATGTAGAACTGACTTTACACAATGACAGATTTAACACACAATAGGAGGTTTTGGACTGTGTTCCTTATACAGAAGTTCCTCTTGTAGCTTTTGCAATTATTTAACTTCCTGATTTTGATAGTGGTGAGACTTAATCTCACTTCTAAAAGTACTGTCAGATGTTGCTTTTGCAGATATTAAAAGAGTAACAGCTTCTGTTCAGACTCATCAATTTCTTTCACTTTAATTATAGTTCTTGACAACCTGAGTTGCAGATGAGTAACACACACACATAGAAACACTCACAGTCAAGACATACCCTCAAGGGACATCATCAACAGGTTTTCCCAGCCTGAGCAGAATCAATTGCAAATATTAACAAAACCACTTACGATAAAGTCTTTAATAAAATTCACGATAGGAATGTATTTCCATTAAATGTGGCCTTTAGGAAGAAATCAAACTCAGTGAGGAAGGTTAAAAGTTACCTTATATCTTTAACCTCTAATTTTCTTCCACACTTGGAATATATTATTACTATTAACTATTTATGAACCTCATAGGACAAAAGAAATAATATGTCTGTTCTTACATCACATCACTGTTCTTACATAACTGACAAGCAGCTACATCAACAAAAAATGTTTGTTTTGTATAATGTGTTCAAGACATTGATACGGAGTCAAAGTAAAAAACTATCCAGTATCAGAAAAATCAATCCTGACCTATTACTGTTAGATATTCTCAAATGCTTTCTTTTAACATCAATTCTTTCTAATTTGGACTAATACATCGTCAAAATGTCATATGAACTAGGATACCAGATAGGTAATAATATCACTAGAAAATGAGACGAAACATGCAAATGATTTGTCCTGAATCTCATCAAAGACCAAATTGGAACTCTATAAAACTGGATAACTGGATTAGAGCATCAATATCTGATCCAAAAGACTGCAGAAACATTTTCATCTTTTTTTTATACCTGCAACTAGATTCAACGTTGCCGTTGTCAAAAAGTTAAGAGAAGTTACAGCTTTACTCAGTCTCAGATGGGATGTTACATATTTCATCATTCTTTAGCTGTGACAGATAATGAACAAAAAAGATTTTTTCATTCATCCATCAAGCTGATCCACTACAGCAACAGGACATCTTTGGGTCAGAGGCGTGTCTGTGTTAAGGTCTCAAACTTTCATAATAGGTGTCAGCTTGGCGTTTTTACATGGCCTTTTCAAGCTGTTGCTTCAATTTCTTAAAATATATCCATTTTTACCTTCTGTAGGTATGCTAGTAGCTCATGTAATGTTTCTACATGGTTGGTATCCTTCAGCTTTTCACAGTCTTGCTGTACTCAAACTTTATAGACAGCAGCCCCTGGTACCTTAGTGGTGCCTGCCCATTCCCCATCATCTGACTATCTTTTTAAGCAAGAAAGAAAGCACTTTGGTGTTTGTTTCTGACAGATCCTTGATGTCAACCTGCACATGGACCCTTTTTTAACTTGATTTCTAATGCCTGGGTGCAAGTGATTAAATCAATGACTTGATCTGCGTTCACATAGTTTTCTTATGCTCTTAGGCTTAATTTACATCCCTTAAGAAAATATTTTAGAGTATTAAAGTCTTCATTTACTGTCTCTTGGCATTTCCATGCGTTCATTCAATTTGTCTTAGTTGTATTCCTTGGAACACTTGGAGGATTTCTCTCCTCTCTGGCATGTATATATATATTTAAAATGTTTTCAGTTAGGTATATTCTTTCTCTGCTTTTGTTCACTGTTTAAGAGAGTAATGTGTTCTAGTGTATGTTCACAAATCAATCTTTTTTGTTCCCTTAATTTTCTCTTTATGAACCACAGATATAATAAGGAGGTCAAAACAAGATTTCAGATTTGAGCACTGTTAGCCCAAAATACCATCTGGGATATTATCTGCTACTTAATCTATTGAACTGTTTATATCGCATTATCATGATGGAATCTACCATATTTCTCCATATTTCTCATCTTGTGTTGTTACTGAAGAATATTCTTGGCCATACTCAAGTCTTCCGGAATTTAATTGTGCTACTTCCATATGTTTCTATTCCAATAAAAGACAATTTGTTTCTTTTTAGGAGATCTTAGAACTGCTAGTACAAGTGTAATATTTCTCACATTTAAGGATATATCCTCTGAACATCCTTCTCTTTATCTGAATGAGCAAGCTTGCTTTGGCTTCATAAGGTCTGGTGGTCACAGGAGTTTGAAACATATTCCTACTTCATTTGGCAAAAACAACTGTGGTGCAATAGTCAAGTCATAGGTTACCTAAGTTATGAATTAAGTGAATTCTACATGGTACTTTTTACCATAAAAGCCTTTAAAAGTTCAATTTTTCTTTTCTCTTTGGCGGGCTCATAGACATACATGTTAATGAGGAGCAGATGCAATACAGAGGACCAGAGGTGTTTTTCCTCCTCTCCATCTTCATACATGCAAATAGCTTGAAATCAAGATCATGTAATGAGAAATCAGGCAGACATATGTTTAATTCAATTACGAACTGAAATTTACAGCACTATCATCACTTTGCATTACTCAGATGCAGCCTGGTTTTACATTGTGTTCCTGAAGTTATATGTCATCTCTACCAGTCACAATAGCTCTTCATTTAGTCAACTGGACTAGCCAATTTATTGAGTTTTTAAATCCACAAATATACTAGTTTAAAGTAGCATCTGCAGATACTATAGGAGTAGATGATGATAAAATTTTTGAAGGTTGAGAAGATAAATTCTTGACTTCTGTTGTTAGGTGAAGTGACTGGTACTGGACATTAGTTACACACTTTCTTTTTTTAAACAGAAGAAAAGGAGAGAGAAATGAAGACCTCACAAACAGAGCGGGAAGTACCCATTAATCATTACTAAGACTGAAAAAATAATCATGGTTAGATTACAGTTTACATGATCTTTGTAGCAACAAAAAGCCTAAGGGAAAACGTCAATATTAACTGTGTGCTTCTAATGCATACTCTTAAAAGATTTAAGGAGCATTCATTTTTCATCTTCCAAAAGGCAGGATCCAGTCTTTACTGGAACTGAGTAGTCCCCCATTCTCTGAGGAGTTTTATTTAATGGAGCTAGGTTTAGCAGCATATATTCTTTTTTTTCAATTTTAGTATACAACTAGGTTATTAAGAAAATCCCTGTGAATAATATAAGCAATTATGTTTACTCTTGAAACTGCTTTTCCAGAATATGATTAATAAAAATTCAGTTTACAATAAATTAGAATGAATATCCCATTTTAAGCCCTCCAGTTTCAGTTCTTGGGAATTTTTTTGAAAAAAAAATGTATTTCAGCCTGTAAGGTTCTCTAAAAAGGTATGGTCTTTAAAAGCATCACCTCTTTGCAATTTTGTTGATATTTTCTGGAACTTGAAAGTGTGCTCTGTAAATAAATGTATGCCCAGAATTTTTATACTTCCCTCACTTGGTCCTTCAGCACAGCTTGTCAGTTTTCATTTTCAATGAAAAAAAAACAAAACATAATTCTTTCCTGACCTCCTTCATATGGTGATGTAGGTCGTCTGCCCTCTGGTTTACTCTGTTCAAGGGTCAGCCCAGAGGGCTGTGTTGTGTAACGTTTATTCAGCACTGGTGAACACAAGCGTAATTCCAGTTGTAGTCACTGGAATTTCAGCTGCCTGCATCAGCGTTTATGTTTTTGTGCAGTTTGGCTGTTCAAAACAATGGGCAAAATAATGCCACCTGAAAGTCTATTAACCAAATTCACACCCGATCTGATGTCGGTCAGCCTTTAATGGAGATAGAGCTTTCTATCCTTTCTGGTTTTCATCAAAAAGTGCCCAAATTGATCCCCTCTCCCAGTCAGCAAACCCTGCAGGGCTTGCATGCTTGACCTGTGCTATGGGAGCGAGTGAGAGGAACCACCAGACAGCGGGTTACTCATCGTGGAGGAGTCCCTGTCTCCTTGACCAAGCACAGCTCCTTCAGCACACGTTTTCCTCTCTCCTCACCTCTACGCTACGGCACGATATTTCTCTTGCTCTCTCTCTCACTATCTCTTTTCTGTATCTCTCGGAAATCAGACTGGAGTTCAGAGCACTTTCACTACCTTTTATGAGGTAGAGTGTGATGTCATAGATGGGGGCAGGGCTAGTCAACTTTCTACCCACCCACCCACCTGTGCTGAGGGAGCTACGCTTGAGGCCGGAAGCAGTGACTCCTCGACGGTGAGTAACCTCCTGTCTCATCTATATCTTTAACTCTGTCTTTAGATCTGGGGGTGGAGGGAAGAGGAATGGGAATGGGAGGGGGTTTTGTTAGCTTTTCTTTTTTTCTTTTTTTAATTAACCCAGAGTTAATGTCATCTGTAGAGCAACTATGACCTTTCTTTGCAGAGGTGGTCCATTTACTGGTGGTTAAGCTGACCCTTCAATGTTTACCTTGCATTGTGAAAAGGCAAACTCTGGTTCCCTTGAACTCAATTACTAAAATTCTATTAATTTTATTACACTAGTGCTGGGCCATCATTTTTCTAAAGTACTTTGTGATTAAAGATAGACGGTGTTATTTATATATTTATCATTGTTAACTGTGGATAATCCCCATTTATACAGGAGAGGGTTTTTATTTTCTATATTCTCTGTTACTGTTTTTTATGTGCTTTATCCAGAATGTTTATGGAGCTATGTATTGACAATAAGCCAATTATAAGACCTGTTTTATAGATGAAATAAAATTCAAAAGTAAATTGTGGAAGATCTGACATTAAGCAGGAAATCAAATCCCAGGAGATGTAACTGAAATTCAACCTTTGGAATTATAAATTAAAGCATTTAATTTTTTCTGTGATAAGAATTTGAGATGAGCAGTGATATTGCTAACTGAATCTCACAGTTTTTTTTCTTGTGTCACTACCTAAGCATGATTATTTTACTTTAAAGCACTGTCTTTTTACCTATTTCCCTTGGCCTTGAGTATTACTGCTTCACTGTTTTAATATCCCTCAGCATTTTAAAAAAGTCAAGATGGACTACAAAGGTCTTCCTTTCTTGTTCTGCCTCTTGGGTACCTATTAAAGCTGCCAAGATGTCAGAGCTTTCATACTGAAGGGCAGAAGAAGGATCATATGAGGATTTTGACCCCCAGGGATATTGCAAATCTTGCTGTTCTTCATCATTTAAAGCTCTTTACCAGCTCCATGTGGGGTCTTGTCATATCTCACCGAAAGGCACCAAAAGGCAGCAATGCATACTCTATAAATCAAAGACAAAGAGAGTGCAATCACAGCCTTTTCAGCAGAGGTGGTCCATAGTCTGATTGATGAAGTGCTTCTATTTTCAGGTGACTAGGTGGCTTTGAGGAATTGGGTATAGGATGCAGACCATTCCATCTTCTGGTCAGTGGCATGTATTGGTGATTGGTCAGTGGTGATGGATAGATATTCCTCCCTGATGACTCAGTGATGCTCTTTGTATCAGTGCATAGGAGATCTGAATGAAATTCTGGGAGGATGAAAGTCTTGTTTACAAAGCTACCAAAACTTTCACTAATGACTGTTTCCCTTCCTGTCAGAGAGAAAAATAAGGACAAACAATATAAAAATTGGCTCCCTGTCAGGTGGTAGCTTTTCTAACGTTGAATAATGTGTGCAAGGAGTTTTATTACTACTGCTTATTCCTTTAGTGAATCAAACATTGACGTCTCCAAGTCTTCCTTTGCAAAGCCAAGAACTTGCCTAGCAAATTTAGCTTCCCAAGCAAACTTTGAGCTTTTAAGTGGGAAAGGAAAAACAGGTTAGTCAATCTCTAATGTTTCATTGGGAAAACTTTATAGGAATTGCTGCTGTTAAAGACGATTTGAGGTTTATTCTTTTCAGAGGCAAATGCTTTGAGTTAAAATTTAATTTAGATCCTAAGCACATCCTTTGCTGATGAGTTTACAAAATTGTTTTTGCACATAATTATTCTTGCATAATGCAGGAGACTGGAATTTTTGCACAGAATTGGAAAAACATAAGGACCAAATCTACAGCGTCCGTAATCTCACTTCAATGATACAAAAGCATTTTAGTGGCATAGAGAGGGAAACTCTTTAAAAGTGATATGAGGATAAAGAACAGGAAATCAGAATTGATACCATCCAGTAATTTTGATTAATTAGAGATAGTGATCAGCACTGAGGGGATATTGTGGAACAGAGATGTCAGTGGATTAGTTTAAATCCAGATAAATTTGCTCTCTAAATTTATCTTGTAAGATGAGCAAATTAGCAGTTGGCTGACTTATGTATAGGGGGGATTTTGTAGAGAGAATGATATTCAAAATGACAAACCGTTGTAATAATTAACCTGGAATCTGCCTGTGTCAAATTTAATAACAAATTTTGGTCCATGCAACCCCAGGACGTGAGTTTGCCTGAGTACCTTAACACTGGGATCATATAAATAGTGTAATATTACATTTACTGAGCTAATTTCCTGTAAAAAAAAAAAAAAAAATAGCATGTCTGAAGTGCACAGATTCTTATATTTTACAACTTTGGCTTGAATGAGTATTCAGTCAATTGCGATGTTTATTTTAATTGTACATTATTTACATGTACATAAATTAAAGTAAAACATAATAAGGCCTAGATCCCATCTGATTTTATTTAGTGTGTAATATAAAAACTTTTGAAAGCAAATATCTAAGTGACTTGTTCCAATATATGCTAATTTAAATGAGTTAAATCTTCAGTGTTTTGCAAACTGAAACTTATGATAGGGCATTCTTAAAAATTGTTCGTTTATATTTGCAAGCATATTGTGTATTACTGACTCAAAGCAAAACCAGTAACTAGTATATTTATACCTATATATTTAAGCAGGTCAGCATTTAAATTACAGATTTGTTACCCAGTTGTACCGGCAAGGTGTGAGCAATACTTTAATGATGCAAGATCATATATAAGGAGCAAACATTTTTTTCAGTGTGATTAAGATGGCTATGTAAAATTCCCAAATTTTCTGTATTTGCCAGGCTGATTTCTCTTACAAGTTGAATTAAAACTTTGTGGGCTGGTTCTTACCTTCTTCTTTGCTATATAAGAAGTGAGGGAGAGCTGTGAAATGCACCATCTGTTCACAAACTGTGTCAGCTGGCAGATAGATGCTCATCAGCCTGCCCTCTCTAACTGCAGTTTTAGGCTGGGATAACACCATTGACTCAAAATGAATTACTTTTGATTTAATCTTGTTTAAGCAAAAGAAGTCACAATGATAGTACACAGCATTCTAGATGACTCTTCATGTTAATTTAAATTGCAATGCTTTTAAACTTCAACCTCAGCACATTTGAATTGTCAACAAAAATGCTCGATAACACTTGGGCCGAGCATAGTGATAGGAGGAGGCTAGGACTCCCTTAACACCCTGGCCTTTTCTGTTTCTGGGACACTTGCATCTCAAAGACATTAAATATGATTCTATTCAATCATAATCCTTTGGCTTTTCATTAATCCCATCTGAGTGTCTCAAAGCAAACATGATGGTGCACCCTCGTAAAACTGAAAACAGAAGCAAATATTGTCATTATGTCCCTTCTGCAAATGAGAATACTGCACACACTCATGGCAGAAAAGATCGATAGAATCATGATGAGTTTCAAACACTATGTCCTCCTCCAAGACTCAGATAATTTTCAAGACAAGCGTTTCTTCTGTCTTCCGTTCTATATTCCAGTTTCCACTCTGAATGTCCAAATAAAAATTAAAAAAATAAAAACAGGAAAAAAAGTTCAGTGTAGTTAAGAAGTATGGTTTGAAAATGATAAAGTTGGGAAAAAATCTTGCAGTAACAGAGGGAGGCTACCCCACTCAAGTTATGCAAAAGATAAGAGTAGGTCTATGGTGTAATGAAAACTGAGTATTTTATTATTCAGAAAGATTTTGCTTGAATTATGAAGAGTTTCTGACTGTTCTCTCTGTTGCTATGTAGAGAGTGATTAATCTAGCCAAGTGTAAACATCTGCATCTGAGCTGGTCACTTTAGGCTTCTTATATAATTAGCGGAGTTCAATAGCCATTTCTAGAAAGCTGAAATTCTTGTTTCAGGTAGATGCTGACAACTGGTTAGATTACTAACATCTTTAAAAAATTACAGAGGCACGGGCAGGAGAACTAAACCATGTATTCAGACAAGCATAGAATCAGGGAGTTTAGCCTTGGGGCTGTTTTCAAGGCATATATTCATGTGTAAGTGATGTAAACTTTCTGTGAACTTAGCTGCTGGAGAAAGGAAACTGCCTGATTTTTTCTGGACAGAAGTATTTAAATTGTTTTGTAAAGAGCATTTGTCTATATAAATTAGCTCTTTCAGGGCTCCAATCTCATTAATGTCTGTAAATTGTAGAGATTTTAGTATGTTTTATAGTATCTGGTTTTCCCCTATTTGAAACTATTGGGGATCAAATGAGAAGAACTAAGGAAAACAAATTACTCATTAAGTTTCTTTGAATTTGGGGACTATTTGGTCAAATACAAGGACAATTTTTTGCAGATGTTGAGCATCTCTGCCCAGATTCACTGTACTGTCTTTAGGATTCTAATGCAATTTAGGATCTCTAAATATAATTAAAAAGATGAGGTACTGTGGCCCATCTCCATATGAAATGAACCTGTGAAAGATCTCAGGTGCTCTATGGTTCCTGGTCTTCTCTACCAAGCACAGAAGGACTCTGGAATGCCTTGGTCCAGCACCTGGAATTAGTGCAGGCTAAGACCATTTATAGAAATGGAAACTTCAAAAACCTTGCCTAGGTCACAGAGCACATTGTCTCAAAGGTTTTTACGAGCAGCCCTATTTTTCCTGCCTGCATTCATAGAGAAACTGTTCAATTACAGACATCTGAAAAAATGCTTCTGGGGGTTCTAGTGCCACCAGTTATGAACAGTTCTTGGACCCTGACTCATGAAGTTCAACAAGGCCAAGTGCAAGGTCCTGCACGTGGGTCGGGGCAATCCCAAGCACAAGTACAGGCTGGGTGGAGAATGGATTGAGAGCAGCCCTGAGGAAAAGGACTTGGGAGTGCTGGTGGATGAGAAGCTCAACATGCGCTGGCAATGTGCACTGACAGCCCAGAAAGCCAACTGTGTCCTGGGCTGCATCCAAAGCAGTGTGGCCAGCAGGTCGAGGGAAGTGATTCTGCCCCTCTGCTCTGCACTCGTGAGACCCCACCTGGAATACTGCGTT